TTAATTCACGCAACGGCTAATTTGGCCAGAAATATGCGCCAGTTGGTCTGTCGGCCCAATCGAGAGGTGTTTTCTTGTTGTCCAAGTGCTGCACTTGTTGATTTATCGCCGGCATTTAATTGCTTTTGAAATTGGATTTACCAGGCCCGTTTGATTGCCGCAAAAATGGGTGGTTGCGCTTGCTGGCTCGCCTTGTGTGGCGCGGCTCTGTGTTTTTTTGTGATTTTAGCGCTCCAGCTTGCACAAATTAATTGCTACTACAAATTTTCATTCAATTAGGTTTTGTCACTTTTAAATTTAATCAAACACTTTTTGACACCTTGAGGAAAAACGCGAGATTGAGTCCAACACACGCCAAAAAGCGGCTAAGACCGCCAGCTCGAGCCACTTGGCCAACACTTCAGGAGAAGTTTCTCGGAATTGCTGCTAACATTGAAATGTCATAATTCAAATGGAATTGTTGTCTTTGGGGCGAAAATTCCAGGGGGGGAATACCCACAATTGTGGCGCTGACAAGTTGAACACCATTTGGTTATCATTTGCGCTAATTATGAGATGCAGTTCTCGCCACTCGGCTCAGATAAACGGCAGTACAGTGAGGCCTAGCTAAGTGCAATTACTCCAATCTGCTGATTAAGCCAATAAATATTTGTTACCGATTATTGAGTTGACTTCCGAATTTTTTTCTGTTGATTACCCAATGTTTTAATGCCGATTTTCTAAGAATCGATAAGGCAAGCCAGCACATGAAACTATTATCTTTGCTCCATAAATATTACTAAGACCTCTTCCAATTGTTGTTTCCTAAATTAGTGATATTTCCGAGTAATAGCTATTAATAACGTTGAGAAGTGAAAACTCTTCTCTCTGCCAAACTTAGTGGTTTTTTAGAATTCAAAGAACTAACAGACACCAAAAATCCCCATTTGAATAGAATAGTTTCACAATTGACGTCAGCTGCGATTGAATATGAACAATAGGCATATTTGATAGATAAAAATAAGTTTCCAACGAAATCGGTTTTCGATTAATCAGCTAGCTGGTTAACAGAAGCAATAATAGCCATCATTCTCAATGAGCAAATGTTGCAGGCAATTTGCATGCAATTGGCCGCCAACATCGAAAGTGGGAGGAGTCCGTTCATGACAGGAACCTCCCAACGACTTCATTCACAAGCCAAAAACACGATGTGTTGCCCGGCCGCCAGGCCCCATGGATATTCACTCCTCCTCCGATTTCAGCTGGGCACTTGGCCAAGCGGGTGATGACACTGGAAGAAAAAGCGACGACTTAATTGGTATCTCCTCTGCAGTAGCTATACACTTACTCTTGAGCAAATCAAACTTTCAAAAGTTGCCTTCAAAAGTGTGTTTCGGTCTTAGCAATTTTTCTCTCTGTGCATTCGCATTTTGCATGCGTTGCGTTGTGGGCGTTACTGAGACAATCTAAGCTTGATGATGAATGCCTGCAATTCTATTTGTATTTATTATTTATGTGTGCTTTTACTTGCTCTTTTCACAGACTATCCGCCCGCTGATAGTTATACCGGTTATCGGGTGACTCCACCCCAAATCAACGGCAGCAGCAGCAACAACAACAACAGCCACCACATCAACAATAACAATAACCACATCTGCAGCAGTGGCATCACCAGCAGCAGCAGCAGCAGCAGCAACAACCTCAGCTTGACGACACCCATCAGCGGCAGCAGCAGAATGGACACCGACGATGTGGAATCGAACACCAGCAGTGCGATGTCCACGCTGGGCTCGCTGTTCTCCTTCACATCGCCGGCGGTGAAGAAGCTGCTGGGCTGGAAGCAGGGCGACGAGGAGGAGAAGTGGGCGGAGAAGGCCGTCGACAGTCTGGTGAAGAAGCTGAAGAAGCGCAAGGGCGCCATCGAGGAGCTGGAGCGCGCGCTCTCCTGTCCCGGCCAGCCCTCAAAGTGTGTCACCATTCCACGCTCGCTGGACGGACGATTACAGGTGGACATCACACGCGACATCGCTAGCTATGTATCTATGGATTACTAACGTTTATGTGGCTTTCAGGTCTCCCATCGCAAGGGTCTGCCGCATGTGATCTACTGCCGCGTGTGGCGCTGGCCCGATCTGCAGTCGCACCACGAACTGAAGCCCCTCGAGCTGTGCCAGTATCCCTTCAGCGCTAAGCAGAAGGAGGTCTGCATCAATCCGTACCACTATAAGCGCGTGGAGAGTCCGGTGCTGCCGCCAGTTCTCGTTCCTCGCCACTCGGAATTCGCGCCCGGACACTCGATGCTGCAGTTCAACCATGTGGCCGAGCCCAGTATGCCGCACAATGTGAGCTACTCGAACAGTGGATTTAACTCGCACAGCTTGAGCACCAGCAACACATCGGTGGGCAGTCCGAGCTCCGTGAACTCCAATCCCAATTCGCCGTACGACAGCTTGGCGGGCACACCGCCGCCCGCCTACAGTCCCTCGGAGGACGGCAACTCCAATAATCCGAACGACGGTGGCCAGCTGATGGATGCTCAGATGGGCGATGTCGCCCAGGTTAGCTACTCGGAGCCCGCCTTCTGGGCGTCGATAGCCTACTACGAGCTGAACTGCCGGGTGGGTGAGGTGTTCCACTGCAACAACAACTCCGTGATCGTCGACGGTTTCACGAATCCTTCCAACAACTCGGACCGCTGCTGCCTCGGCCAGCTGAGCAACGTGAATAGGAACAGCACCATCGAGAACACACGCCGTCATATAGGTGGGTAGTTTTACCAGTTAGGTCACGGAAATTAACCAATTCACAGAGATTTCCCATCAGCAACTATCTTTAAGTGGTTAATAACTCAGCTAGATTGCACTTTAGAAAATGACTTGTCCTTATCAGCAGAAAGCTATGAACTTTAAGAAACTTACTAGCAACCTTTAACACTAAAAACGTTTCATCTTTCGCAGGCAAGGGCGTTCATTTATACTATGTGACCGGCGAGGTCTACGCTGAATGCCTGTCCGACTCCGCCATTTTCGTGCAGTCGCGCAACTGCAACTACCACCACGGATTCCATCCGAGCACCGTGTGCAAAATACCGCCGGGCTGCTCGCTGAAGATCTTCAACAACCAGGAATTTGCTCAGCTGCTCTCGCAGTCGGTGAACAATGGATTCGAGGCCGTCTACGAGCTAACGAAGATGTGCACGATCCGGATGTCGTTCGTGAAGGGCTGGGGAGCGGAGTACCATCGCCAGGACGTGACCTCGACTCCCTGTTGGATCGAAATCCATCTGCACGGCCCGCTCCAGTGGCTGGACAAGGTGCTCACGCAAATGGGCTCTCCGCATAATGCAATTAGTTCGGTATCCTAAGCTTAAGATGAGGCGCAAGTCCTCAATGGAGACGGAAGAGAAGGAATACAAAACCAGTAGCTAAATGAGTACGTGTGAGTGAAAGCTAAGTGTGAAAAGACGTAGAGAACACAGGACAATGGAGGAAGCATAGATCTGTGCCCGAGGATGAGATCGTGTCTATGCCACTCAGCTGCATATTTATATAGATGTACGCAAGCTACTCCAACACCCGCCCTTTGCCCATATTTTATAGTTTATCGTATGATTTTCTATGCGAATGTCATTCCTAATGCTAAAACAGAGTAATGAAAATGGACAGCGAGCTAAGAAACCAATTTACAAAATGGTATAACTATTTACAATGATCTACATGCTATAATATTAATGATCTATGCCCATTGGCAAACAGTTCTTGTTCAAGTCTATTTCAAGTGCTAATTATGTGTCATTGCAAAACTGCTTTAAATATAAAAACACATTTAATTAATCCTACCAACTTTAATTACATAAGGAACAAGAAACTTACATAGGGATATGAAAACACTTATTGCAATACATTTCTTAAAATGATTTTGAAAAACCCTAGCTTATGTTTAACTCTTCTCATTTGCGGTTTGCCTTTGATCAACGAATTCAATGTTCAATATAGTTGATTTAAATATATGGTTTAACTAATTTTAAGTTACAAAAAAATCGAAAACATCAAACAAGAAAAGTTACCAGCGAAATATAAGAATGGAAAAGTCGCTACTGAATCAATACATTTTTCCAAACAATGATCTTTTGTTATCTTAAGTAAAAATAATATTGTTTAGACCACGAGAAAATTGCCTTTTTATATGTATAATTTTACACTAGTTTTCGTAAGCTTATGATTTTCTCTGTTTTGTTTTCAATTACATTTTTTGTGCGCAGAAAAATAAGTAGCGGATAATAAAAAAAACAAACGAAATGCTTACTTCTTAAATAAAAACTGTTTTTGACTCATGAGTTCTTTTATTTGTTTTTTACTATCGCATGTGTGCAATTCCTCACAAAATTAATTAAGATATAAAAACTATGGAATGTAAAAATAGCTGTATATTAGAGGCTTGGGCAAAACACGGCCTTACTTAAAAACAAAATATTATGTAATATTTGTGCCTGTTTGATATTCCATGTGGGCCTTTGATGTTGTACGAACTGTAGAGCAAACAACAAATTGAATAATGTCTTAATAACCAAGCAGAGATACTGATTACCAAACGAAAAAGAAACAGAAATAGTTGCCTTGAAGTTTACTGGTTTTTGAATGCTATAAATTGCCTTAAATACGCCTTGCATGCCTCTTAATGTTAAACGTACTAATGTAATAATAAAACTATGAATTAAAACAATAAAAGTAAAAACACAAAATCGTATTCAACGGAAAACCTTTTCTAGAACATAAGATATTTTTCAACTGGACAACATTTTGCGTCAAAGTTTTACATTTCATCATTTGATTGTCGAGTTGCTGTTTTCAATTACATATAATAAACAGTTTCAATAAACCAATATAAATTTAGTTAATATTTTGTATTACTATTTTTTGAGCTTACAAAAGAATTGAAGGCCACTTCCAGAAGGCAGCCGGATTCCCGGAGTTCAGTTGCCAATGGTCAATGCGTTGACTTCCTGATTCAGCAGATAATCCTGTTTGTTTATATTGCTTAAATTATTAATAACTTTTTAAATAATCGTTACGGAACTAGTTCAAGTCGCACGCTATCGATAGCTGCCAGGTCTGGCCGTCCCATCGCCAACTGCATCAGTTGCCCACCTCTATTGTTTTTCATCCCATCAACATGAGTGCCGTGAGCGATCCGCTGGAACTTTTGACGAACAAGGGCACCCACCAGCCCTCTTTCCTCTCGCCGATATGGAATCCGCTCGCCTGCGGAGTGGCCGGAGTGGGCGTGGCCATTTTCGTCAACTGGGGCTTCCGTAGGCCCGTGTTTTCCGGTGAGTTTTCGCCTCGCTTCCATGTGACGTAACGATTGTTTTTGTCGCCTATAACTAGCAATAAAACGCAATGTTTTGCAGGCATTCAGAAGCACATTGCCTTCGGAGCTCTGGGCGTCGGCGCAGGAAGCTATTTCGATCAGAAGAGGAACGAGTACCTGGCCAAAAGGGACGCCGTCTTCCGGCACTACATCGAGCTGCATCCCGACGATTTCCCGGTGAAGGGTGAGTGCTGGATGGAGGCATTCTAGCCATTTACTGATCCTTTTTGCCCGTTTTTAGAACGCAAGACCTACGGCCAGGTTCTGGAGAGTTGGGTGCCAGTTCGCTAAGTGCATCTAAATCTTTGTTGTAAAGCGACGATGCAAGTAGTTAATAAAACAGCTTTAATTGTAAAACATATGAACACGAAAATGGAGCAAATGGATTAGGCATTCTATGTTTTTCAATGGAACGGAATTGCATATATATTATGGAATTTGCTTAGAGCTGGAGTTACAAGTTGTTAGTATAGGTTATGGTTGATTTAATTTGTATAATTTAAATGGCAGCCTTCATTTTTGGGCAGCTATTTAGTTTTGAAATAAAAATTTTAAAATTTACTTGGGTTTGAGTATCGACTAGTGCAGCGAACTTCCGAACCAGAAGTCGGTGCGCGATACATGGCACTATCGATTGCACAATCGGCCCAAGTGCCACCTCCAGAAAGAGGCTTCTGCGAACAAATGCTCTTTTGTCGCGGTGAAAAACGGATCGAACTTTTGGTAGGATGTGTCTGCGCAAAAAGTTTGTCCGCGAATAAATTACCATTTTTGAATAGCAGCCAGGAGGCTGAAAGAACGCGCTAAAAAATCAATAAAAAATTAGAAAGCCAACCAACCAGTGAATGGATTTAAATATACACCAAATGTTCATGAAACAAACAACGTAATTTTAAGCCCAGTTTGTGTGCGTGTGTGCGTCTTCGTTTTACCGTTACAATTTACGAAAACCGAAATGAAGTGTAATTAGTGGAAAATAAATGCCAATACTAATATTCAAACATAGCGAAACGAATTATTGTTAATTAATTGGCATTATTGTTTTTTTTTTGACCCAGAGAAAGGTTAAGAAACTGAAAGTTTCACGAAAGCCGTCGGCTCATTTCACTTGCGAATATTCTTATCAGCATACAACGATTATGGCAAAGGTAAGAAAAGGCCGAGCTCTTAATTTTATTACGAACTTATTTATTTATGAACAGATGCTGGGCTCCCCCCCTCGCCCCCTGCTCTCCCCCACGGCAAATGTTTGTCAATTTGGTTTTTATTTCATTGCTGTGTGTGTGTGTGTGGGTGGTTTTGGATGGACTCGTTTGTATAAATTATGCATGTTCAGTGGGGATTCGCATTGATTTCCCTGGATTGCGGGGAATCGATTCCCCAGCAACGTTACTTTATGATGTGTAAAATTGAACGGGAGTCGCATTTTTGTGGAGCCATAAAAGCAGTTATGCCAAAAGGTGCTCTGAATGCTGGATGGCCGGGGGAGTGGGGCTGAGTTCGGGGGCATAGAGACATAGAAAACATAGAACATAGAACATTGAATCGTAAGCAGAGTAAACTTGGTAGTAAAGTTGGAAGGGACTAAATTGTTTACTTCATTCTACAGTTTTGCTACTTGCAAACATGTTCTACAACGAAAATCCATATTTTAGAATCTCAGCAGTGGTTCCATAAAATTCTAATATTTTTAAATACTACTATGGGATAAAAATATCAATTCTTACATAACAGCTCTCGTAGTTTCCTAGCTGGCGACATCACTGCTCCTTTAAACACTTTACTATGCTCTTCATCTGGCTAATGAGTGAGTTTCTCCAGCACTTTTCTCCCACTCCGCCGGAAAAGGGGAAAATTCCGCTTATGGGCCAATCTGCACGCTATTACGACGTAGGGGATAAAATGCCAAGGAGCCCTCAATCCCAATCAAGGGATTAAAGCTCCGTCCGGAGAACGTCGAAGGAGTGAAGCCATTTCTCACTGGCCGGCACCTTTTCCGTGGCAGAAATGAGCCACATTATTCTCGAGGTTCTTGGCTCTATATGTGCAGTTCGAGCCAATTTGGTAATACATTTTTTATCACCCACCACGTGTGGGATTCATGATTGGGTGGGGCTGGCTGTGGGTGGTGAGCCCACCCAACCACTGTCGCGTGTCTAACTGAAGAACTTTCGCTAGTGACAGGTTTGTTTTGCCCTTGATAAATTACCTTGCCACTTGTCGCTCAACATGAAATTACTTTCCTGTATCTTAAAGTTTTCCACTTTTACCCAACCACTCAGCCGTTTTTCTCCCTCCGTTGGCTGGCTATGAAATTTTGATTTGCACGCCAAATGCGGCCAAATGTCCCCAAGTCAAGTTCAGACTTTACAATCGAGGTACTCGAGGCACTGAGGTTACTAGAGATACGACTATTATTATGTGCTTAGTACGGAGTGCCCAGCATTCTAAAGCTTGCCCTTGAGTGGTTTTCCGAGACGGGTAAATACGTTTTCCGAGCAGCGAGATTAAATCTTATGATGATCAGTCGCGGCACCTGAAAAATTACACAAATATGTGTAAGTCTCTCACTTTTTTCCACAAGAATTGAAATCTTGGTTATCATTTAAGTATAATTTCTTCAAACAATGAGAACGCAATTTCATTGCGCTGAGAACGCCCTGATGTACAGGGTACATCCAAAATATGTGTATATACATTTATATATATTCTACAATGACTGGGGTTTTATTTTTTGCCTTTGCCTTTTTCCACGACAGCCTCATAATCATCAGAGTTCTTGCCGCCCACTTTTCCCCCACTTTTCATCCATTTTGTCGTCTTGCCATGGCCCCTATATCATTATGTGCAGCCTGTAGCACTATTATATTCCTCTCATACAATTGTCGACGGGGGCGCCTCTATATACACTTTTTTCCGTGTCAACAGCAGCAGGCGCAACCGCAGGACCTGCCTGCAAGTGCAAGGATAACGGGCCGAAACTAACAATAAGTTGAAGCCATTTTTCTTGTATACGTATACATGTTGTTAGTACCACCCACTTATGCGGAAAAGATGAAGAAAAACAGCATGAAAATTCGCTCATGAAAGGCTAAGGGTGATTATTCCGAGGAAATTCTCAGATATACATTTTCACTAGCATTTCTGTTACATAAATTGAGAACTATTGAGATTCTTGTTCCGCACATCGAACTAAACCTTAAAGGTTTCAGTAAATACTACAGCAAAGTAAAGTTCGCTATGGGAATAGTATTAACCATAAATTTATACTCTTGTAATGACATCGTTTTTCCAGTTTGTAGCATCTGTTTCCATACGGAGAGCTTATCCACTGCTCCAGAACCCCTTTATAGATATATATATGTACATATGTATACTATTCCCACTAGCTGATCCACTGTTGGTTTGCCATTTATGATTTATGCTGGTGGCGGTGGCATTTGTGTATTGACTCAACGCGAAATGCGTTGCATGCCACCAAAAAGGGCTTCTGGCATCCATTGCGATTTGTAATTTTCCATTTATTTATGTATGCGTTTGAGGATGCATGAGAATGTATGGATACCGCTTTTCCTTTACACCCACATATTGAAATGCATCTGTGGGAATTTGCTTTGGTATTTATTCGCATTAAGCAAACAGGTGAGCCCCACCTCGATGTCGATGAAATCTATGCTAATTCGCAACATCATCGGTTTCGGGTTTGTTTGCTCTGCTGGATGATTGGGAAACTGTTAATTAATAAAGTTCGCAGCTGGGGAAATGCTGCAATTAATTATTGCCAATCGGCAAACATATGTTTTATTAGCTACAATAATCTGGAAATAGTTAGCCACGCAATAATATTTTTCTTATAATCATACGTCTGTATTTAAAACCAATTTCTTCTCTTCCGCAATATGAAAACATGTTCAGTATTTTCGGAGAGCTATTAACAAGATATGAAAAGTTTATTTCTCACTAATTGGAAAAGTTATCAAAATATAAAACATATCTAACCAACTGCAGCCTAATTAAGCTTCTTTTCATGCAAGTGGCATGCCATAATATCTGCATAGAAAGTGAGTGAATTAACTGCACTGAAATGTGTCTTATCCTTCGCTTGGAAGCTCTCCAGCGACATTATCCTTGCATATTTGTGGGCGTTGCATGCATCGAGGTTCCTCCTCCTTCTCCTCCAAACTCTTGCACCATTCGAAATTTCCCAGGACAAACACGTGGGTCGCCAGAAACGCGGCAAAATGTTGTAAGATTCCTAAGCTAATTTCATTAAAAATTCATGGCCACGACACGACAATGCACACAAAACTACACATAGACGGGGCTTTAGACGTGGAGATACAGCTACTGACGTCGTTGCAGTTTTCCATCCGCTGGATGCTAATGCTACACTAGCAAAAACTCTGGAATTTCCCATAGAGTTAAACGGTTATTTTATTCACTCAGCTTAGTTGGTTAGCCTTTATTAGAGTTGAATTGGTTTCTCCTATAATAAAACGATAAGGAACATCCTTAACTCTGCATATATAAAACAACATTTTGATTAATTTAAATAATGTACCACTAAGTATTTTAAATCAAAGTGTAACCGCTGTCAAAATGTCAAACGAGCTTAAAGTTGCCTTGCCAAAATTTGGGCGAAAAAGCCGCACATGTGTGGCTTAGTCGATAAAAGGAGGAGGACGAAAGGTTCTTGAGAAAGGGGAGGTGTACATATATCCTTCATTCATCCATTGTTGTGCCGAAATTAATAGTGTTTGCATTCGGGCAGCAGCTGTCACTGACAAATTTTCATTTAATCATTCAGCGCGGGGGTGCTAGGTGACGTGATTGCACTTTGATAGATGAATATCTCGATAGATCAAGAAAAAAACGTACAGACATGTGATGAATGTTCTAGCCTCTTCTAGGCTGCCAGCTAATTGTCTAATGTGGTATTTTGCACACCGAGCTCTTTCCTCTACACCACTAATTTAATTAAGTTGCACAAAAAACAGGACTTTGTGGGGTTGAAGTGGCGGAATTGCAACCGGGTGCATAAATAAAGGGGGACGCAGATAAAAACCCATGGAACAACATTGGGGCTGACCCCAGACAGCAAGTCGTGTCCTTCCGACCCGGAGACCATTAAATGGCCTGACAAATGGTATATTAGCATTGGGCAAATTTAGCCAGAATGAATAGGTTCACTAAGCTAAAAGGATACTCTAAGTAAGTGGACAAGACATGCAGGGATTCGGGATGAAGCTTGACTTCCTAGGGCAGTTTTATTCAAGTGGGAAATCATAGTTTATTGGTTATGTAAAAAATAATTATTTATCAAGCCTCGAACATAGAAGAAAATATTACTTATATTAATACAATACCTTCATCGCTGATATCAGTTATACTTC